GGTTGGATTAGGGGTGGTACTTGGTCCAAAAAGTTTGAGAACCACTGGCCTATAAAATTGCGCAAATCCTGCTTAATTAGATGCATTGCAGAAGGTGATAAAGGTACATTATTTATTGGAGCACAGTTGAGTTCAAAGGAGGAAGTCTGTGAAGTCCCCTGATTATTGTTACCAAACATTGATGAGACGTCATGGTTCTATACAGATTACAGAAAAGTGAACGCTGAAACTCCACCAGATTTTGTATGTACTGTAACCATAGTCAAGGACCGATGCACTGTTCCCATTTGTAACAGGGTTACCCATTGGAAATTAATTCCTTTTAACTCAGAGTTTGTAATGTCGGGCGCTCTGAACAAATTTGATGCAGTATAAATAAATGTATGTCCCACAAGCTATACTGTAGTTGCTTTAAAACTATACAACATAGCGCTGTTTGCATTTGGCACCATTTGGCAAGTTTTAAAACTACAGTATGGAAAAACGAGTGTTCAGAAAAAAGAGGACATTTGATTGCTGGATGCTACTGAAAATTCCTTCCCATCGCCCTGAACTGTCTTCTCCATAAATCATTTAATTTCATTTATTATTAATAATATCTTCCATATCGCATTCAAATTGGAACGTTTTTTGCAAGTGTAAATCCACCTCTTTTCTAACCGCTTTATACAGGACAGGTAACAGTTTTCACCACTCTCCCTTCCCTCTACCTGCCTGACTTGTTCCCATTTTTAACCATTTTGTGTCCAATCGCAGCGGGTGAGAGAGAGTAAGGAGAGACAGAAACAAAGTGAACCCTGGGTTTTTGATAGTCAGATTTAACGTATGTTTGAACACATTGCCAATTCATGTTTTTACAAGATGTAGAAGTGCAACAATAAGCGATTCCATATTATATTCCCTATTTAGCAGATTCTAAAAAGTATGAGGTTTTTTACTGTGGTAATGAGCACGAGTATTCATAGAAAAGGTTAAAACATGGAATACAGAGGGAGTTTCAGAAATTAAACAGAGGTATGGAACACCCTGTCTCAAAAATATAAGTTTAATAAATTGAAGTTTGTGAAAACAGTGACAAATCACCCTGAGCAAAATACAATTTTAAAATACAAGCAATTTGAAATTATTATTGTTATTAATAAATCACTTAACTTTGAACGTATTGTGATATTTAGAAATACCAATATAGTGTCGATAATATTTACTTATCGTAAATATTACTTAACTAATCCTTGAGCACTGGCACTGTACCAACGGTCCTTAAAACTGCTGCCATTACCCCCGTGCCAAGAAAGCCTCTCGACAATCTTAACAACTTTCGCCCCATCTCCAACGTACCCTGTCTCTCTAAAATTCTAGAACGTGCTGTCACACTTCAGTTACATAACCCCTTCATGACAAATAACCTTTTCGAACCCCTCCAATCTGGCTTCCGTCAACTTCACAGCACAGAAACTGCCCTGGTCACCAACGATCTCCTAATAGCTTCTGATTCTGGTTCCCTTTCTATACTCATCCTTCTGATCTTGCCTTTGACACTGTTGACCATAACATCTTATGTGTTTGGAGTTTCTGACACTGCTCTCAAATGGTTTAAATCTTACCTCACTGATCACTGTCACTTTGTCTCTCTCAATGGGTACAGGTCTGAAATTGGTCTTGTCAAGTCTGGTGTCCCCCAGGGCTCAATACT